AAATATCATGCTCACAGCCTCAGCGGCTGTCCTGTTTAAGGTCCCTCTTTTTTTTCACATCTTCACTTTCTAAAGCACATTAGGAAAAATTTGCAAACATGGAATAAAAGATAACAAAAAAATTGAAAAATTGCAGATGAGCGTGAAGGTTAAACAAACTAAAGATAAAATGGAAAAATTATCTGTTAAGAGAGATTTGATTACATTTGAAGGAAGAATGGAAGAAAGATTTGGAAATATGGAAGAAAAGATGAATAAAAAAATATAAAGAATCTGCAATACAAGTGAGTGAGACAGAAATATTAAACCAAGAGATGAAAAGAGATTTAGACAATGTGACACTACTGGATTTAAAAGAGAAAGAATTTTGCTTGAGATCTGAGAGTAGCTAACAAAGCATCTGGCAAAGATAGTAAGGAGAGGGTTGCTGAAAACTTAAACATTTTCTTTAGAGTACAGAATCAATACAAGAAATGAAAAGTTAAGAAATGTACCAAGAAATATACAGGTAGTCCTAGCTTAACGACCACAATTGGGACCAGAATTTAGGTCACTAAATGATGTGGTCATTAAGCAAATCATCACATGACCAGACCCAATTTTATTACCTTTTTGTGGTGGTCATTAAGTGAATCACCACAATTAAGTGAATCACACAGCTCCCCATTGATTTTGCTTGTAGGAAGCTGGCTGGGAAAGTTGCAAATGGCGATCACATGACCCTGGGATGCTGCAACTGTCATAAGTGTGAGCTGGTTGCCAAGTGCCTGGATCACGACCTTGTGACCACAGGGCACTGCATGGTTGTAACTTTGAGCACCAGTCGAAATTCACTTTAGCGCCGTCATAACTTTAAATGGTTCCTAAATGAATGGTTGCTACGCGAGGATTACCTGAATTTGTGCATTTGTCAGGAAAAGGACAAGAGACCAGGCCCTACAACAATATCTTAACACCAACTAAGGATTAATAATGCCAGAATACTGTGTAAGAGAAAAGAATACAAAATTGACTTGTTTGATCATGGATAAGACAATAAGTACTTTTATAAAATACTGGAAACTTCCATCTTGGTGATGGAACAAACTTTGGTTTGTGCTGCTTTCAATTCCTGATGTAAAAAACAAAACAAAACAAAAAAGAATAGAGCCTTCTGATACTGAAGACAAGCTTGAATGGTCATAGAAGTATATATATTAGGAACATTTCACTTCTAAAAATAAATACCATGTGTCTTAATTTTCATCCTTAGAAGCAGCAATACTTCTTGGAGATATTTTCTTACATAGCTTAGAGGGTGTTGAAAATGAGTAGGTCAATAGAGCTGTCATACATCAGAACCAGTGAAGGCATAAAATGGCAAAGACAGAGCATGGAAGAATTCAACCGCCTTCTCTTTTAAAGATTTACAGGGTGGTAAATGAATTTTGATCCAGAGAAACATGAGGGGAAAAAAAGATGTATTTCTAAACACAGAGTACAAGATTAGCTCATACCAGGCTGCCAATGACGTAAGTTAACTGTTAGTTCATATATTATTTTTTCCAGTAAACAATCTAGCAATTGTTACACTCATTCACTAACTTGACCCACTGCCCCTTCTGCCTTAATAATTTTTATTGCTAACACATAAAAAGGAACCATATGCAGCCAATGACTTTATTAATTAGCAATGCTTATGCATAATCATGAATAAGTGTCAACAAAAGAAATGGGCAACTAGAAAGTGCATATTGCCTCCCCCCTCAAAAAAACCTTCCCTCTCTATATTGTGCAATTATATTGGGGGGGGAAAGGCACAAGGATAGCCTCTCCCCCTAGCATGACACTGCCTCTGGCATCCCATCCTGCATCTATTTGGTGAAGACATGGAACTCTACCCTACTGAGAAAAAGAATACAAGGACACAATCCCAGGGCAGCCACATGGGAGGGAGCATTTATACAGGTAGATTTAATGATCCCAACCCACCACAACGCAGTGAATGTGGCTTGGAAGGGAAAAGGTTTCCCACCCTTGTCCCATTGTAATATTTTTTGATATTCCATTAAAACTTCTTGGATTTTTTCAGGGCAAGATTTCAATCTGTTTGATACAATATTTACAGCCTGATATTAACATATTTCATGTTATAACTGATGTTCTGGATGGAAAGACATTCCATCTGTGCATAATTAAACACATTCAGCTGCTTTAACAAGCGCATCTGCATCGTCTATGTGTGAGTGGAAGGCTGATTTTATCACATCCAGGCTTTCCTGCAGCAATCTTTAAAAGAAGCACACTGCTACTCTCTTCATTTTCAGAATATTTCTTCAGCATTACTTTTTCTATCATCTTTGTGGAATAAAGAACTATCGTAAGGCAAGGAACTTGTACATGATTTAGCTCTACAAAAGCAGGGCTTCTTTGATTCTTTCCCTTCTTGCGTGTTGCTTTGCTCTTCTATGGGCAAAAAATTATGATATCTCCCAGAATAATCATATGTAAGCTCTTCATATGCACAGATATCATGATCAGCAAAAAGTGCTAACTTAGGCACCATTGAATCTATCCGGACAGGAACCATAAAGAGGTTGGGTTCACAGGAGTGGTTCAAGAATCTACCAACATTTCCAATATATGTGGGGTCTACAAAAGTCTCCATTATCCTTCCATCATACAAGTGTTCCCTAACTGCTATAATGTAATTTGAATCACTTGATGTCTGCAACTGAATTCTTCTATGTGCTTCATTAAAGTCTAGAATTTCCCCAGCATATTCACACACAAATCGTCCTTTGGGTATGAATTCCAGGGTGCGAAGACCCCATCCTTTTTCAGTGGTCTTAAATACTTCAAGTTGGAATTGTAAGCCCCGTTGAACTATTCTATTTTGACACATCTCTCCACAGTGGCACATAGTGTTGCATTCAAAAATAGGCTTTGAAAAACCCAGTTCACTTCTTTTAGTCTTGATGGATAAGTTTTTATAATTTTCTCCATAGTGAAGACATGAGCATGTTGGTGCCAGACAGGAAGCAGAATGACAGCTGCATCCAGGGAAGGAGATCTCAGATGGGTCTGGTTTGCCTCCCTCTCCAAGCACATGATCAGGACTATACTGAAAAAGAAAACAGAGGAAATCATCTTGGGGGCTATAGTGCCTACTCTATAGCTGAGGAGGCTGGCATAATATATTCTGCAAATAAGCAAAAGACTGTCATTATGTTTGCTGAAATCCCTACCAATACATGCATTCTTTACAATGGGTGATTATATACATTTGATTAAAAAAGTGGATAAAATGGAAATAATTGATTAGTGATTAAATGTCTTAAGAGACCATCTATCTATAGGTCTATTGACATATATAGATCTATCAATATCTCTGTTCTGCTTATATAAAAGGCAATGTTTTGTAATTTATTTTGGTGATTTATATATATATAGAAACCCAGTACTTGCCTATGATGAGAAGGAATTTTGGTGATATTATATGTTTCAATTACACCACTACTTCCATTCAGACTCTGGGGAACAACTCATGTGAGGCCAAAAAGGGGGTCAGCGTATTTTCCTTTAAAAACTATATGATTCATTTATTCAATTTCTGGTTAACAAATGAATTATTCCTTGCAACAGTTTTATTTTCTAAATGAACATGTATGAAAGTAGGATAGAAAAACATGAGAAATAAGAGGGTTAGGAGAGAAAAATTAATCAGATATCGAACTGTGTTTTATTTTATTTTTAAAAAGAACAAATTATGTTTGGTAACCACAGAAGAAAATGTTGCTCATCTTTTTGAACTTAGCAATTTAGATAGTGGTAGTCTGCTACTTAGCAATTTAGATAGTGGTAGTCTGAGGCAAACTAAATAATTGTCGTTTTACCATTTTCCTCCCCTGGGTCCAACATGATTTGTTCAGAATTTATTTCTTACTATGCAGATGCTTACCCACAGGGCCAATTGATGATGCACTCATAATTTAATTCCTCTAAAGCATCTTATTAGCTGAAGCAAGGATAAAATTATCTTGCCAGCTTACCAAATCTCTTGTTTCTAATTTTATCTGACGAGACAAGCCATGATTTGGAACATTTTGGATAAGAAATGCATCCTTTAATTAAAGGAGGAAAAACTTGGAAAAAGTTGTTATTTCACATATTGAAAGGAAGCAACAAATGGGGAGATAGAAGACAAAAATACATCTGATTTAATCTATAGGAAGACAGGGCTATGCGTTGCTTTAACAGGCTTCCACTAATTCACCATTTCTTCACAAAAGGATTCTAAATGATCTACCATAACTGCAGTGAACATTAAAGCAATCCTATGCATTTAGACTAGGTGATGTTTTGAAAATAACCACTAAGGCTCCTAAAGGAAGGAGGTTATGTTTCTGATGTAATGAATTTTAGTTTCCAAAAATGCTGCTGTCACAGAAAGAGATAAACATTACAAAATGTTCAAGATTTCATCATATGTCAGGACAATTCATTTGGAACTGATGACTCCATTTGGATTTCAAAGGCAGCTTGGTAAGTTCCCTGACACTCTACTCTGATGGCAGTTGAGCTGAAGCTGTAGTTTCCACTTAGAATGAGACTTTGATTAGATTGCTCCTAAATGGCCTCTCCCTCATACATCAATCCTAGGGGCTTTCTTGATGCACAAAGGAGCTCTGGGAGATGAAATAACAGAAGAGACAGCTGAAGCACTGCTACAGAAAGATAAGAGCCCAGCTGAACATATAAAAGCCTACACTAAGGATTATGTTGTGACAATAAGAACACCAAAACCTAAATATTTTTCTGCTCATACGGTATTGCATCCATTTTTGGAGGGTGGGAGTGCGTGTGTTCAAGTCAATGTTGACTCCTGGCAACTGCCTGGACTAGTCCCTGCAGGTTTTCTGGCAAGATTTCAGAAGCGGTTTGCCCTTGCCTGCTTCCTAAGACAGAGGGTAAATGGCCCAAGGTCACCCAGCTGGCTTCATGCCTGAGGTAGGACTAGAACTCATGGTCTCCTGGTTTCTAGCTTGATGCATTAACCACTACACTAAACTGGCTCTCTTTTGTATCCATGCTACCCAGCAATCACGTTTAGAGTGATGTCTGTTAAGGAGGGAAGTGTCAGAAGAACACTTGAAGGACTCTAGTGAAAACTATTCTAAGCAATCAATGGACAAAATTGCTTGTATCTGCTCTTAATTGGACTGCAGCTGGAGAGATTTTGTTCTGTTCTCTAGGAGGAACTTAACCCTGTAGGTCTTGAGAAAGTGGGCAGGATTCTTGGGGCTATTAGAGCAGTCACCTGTATGATCCATGTCTCTCCAGACTGGTCAAAGCCACCTGAGAGACACGTCATTGGGTCTAAGCAGTGATGTATTCACCTTTGAGCGAGGAGGTGGTTCCATCTGCATTGAAGGTGGCAGTGGGTGTCCTCTCTTCAACAAGTGTCAGCTCTTTGAGGTAGGCCAGGTCAAGAAACAACACAAGGAACACAGGAATGCTACTTTATTGTTGTAGGGTATAATCACAGAAGCTTGGAAGCCTGCCAGAGTTTCCCTCTGTCTCCTCTTATATCAACAAGACTTAAGGTGAGGCTATTCATCTTAAGTCTCTTTTCCCAGGACTGAGTCTCTTATTTTGCCTTAACTGTTCCTGCATATATCCTTCAAGGTTATCACACATTCCTGCACAACAAGCTATTGTTTGATGCAACGGTTCCAGCTAACCTCCAACTTTTCCTTTCTGGGGAAGGTTGTGAAGAAGGTAGTCAGACTACAGCTTTATAGAGCCATGGAGGACATAGATTATCTGGAACTTTTTCATTCAGGTCTCAGTACAGAATTGAGATGGCATTGATCACACTTGTGGATTACTTCTGGTGGGACCAGAATGGGGTTGATATAACTAACCTGCTCCTCCTTGACCTCTTAGCAGTTTTCAGAACCATCTGACGTGGTTTTTGTTTTTTTTTCACCAGCTTCAGGTACTGGGAGGTGGAGGTATTCCTCCTTTCCCAAGGACTAGTTCCATCCAGTGTTAAGGGGTGCACAAAGGTGATATCTAGGTCTAGGTCACTGTAGTGTAGAGTTCCTCAGGGTTCAACACTTCCCCCATTCCTGTTTAACCTTGACATGAAGCTGTTGGGTGAGGTCAGATTGTTATCAATATGCTGATGAAACCCAGTTGTATATCTCCACCCTAGTCAAACCAAGTTCTGGATTCTGTTGTAATGCCTAGAGGCTGTTGAGCTCTGCATGGTGAACAACAGACTTAGGCTCAACCCTAGCAAGACTGAGTGGATGTAAGTTCAGGGACCATCCATTTCCAGGGATCTTCCAGCTTTCATTCTGGATGGGATTGCACTTCCTTAGACAGAGCTGGTGGGCAATTTGGGAGTCCTTCTGGACTCACAGCTTTTGTTCAAGGAACAACTGACATTCGTAGCTAGGAGAGCCTTGGCACAGATTCAACTTATGCATGATTGCACCCATTCCTGGATTAAGAAGGCTTTCTGTCATGTACCCCTTAGGCACTTCACATTTGGACTTCTACAATGTGTTTTACAGTTTATGCAGAAATTAAATCCTATTGCAATATCTTATGTTCTCATATAAACCCATTTCAACATGGGTAGTAAGGAAATATCAAAGATAGACTTATTCCAAGAGTATTTTAACAAGTTACATCAATACACATTGTATTTTGCAGTGTTGATTTATGGGTTGTGAACTTCTGGGAATATGTTCTCATACTTAGTAAGTAAATAAATAAGTTTATGCAGAAATTAAATCCTATTGCAATATCTTATGTTCTCATATAAATACTAAGTATGAGAACATATTCCCAGAGTAAATAAATAAGTTTATGCAGAAATTAAATCCTATTGCAATATCTTATGTTCTCATATAAATACTAAGTATGAGAACATATTCCCAGAGTAAATAAATAAGTTTATGCAGAAATTAAATCCTATTGCAATATCTTATGTTCTCATATAAATACTAAGTATGAGAACATATTCCCAGAGTAAATAAATAAGTTTATGCAGAAATTAAATCCTATTGCAATATCTTATGTTCTCATATAAATATCAAAGATAGACTTATTCCAAGAGTATTTTAACAAGTTACATCAATACACATTGTATTTTGCAGTGTTGATTTATGGGTTGTGAACTTCTGGGAATATGTTCTCATACTTAGTAAAACACCATGTGGATAGAACAGAATTACACTGATCTGAGTTTAAGAAAATTAAATATCTCAAACAATATTAAAGACTTGCCAAGCACTGCTTTCTACATCTGTCACAAACTGGAATATTAGTGGTATGTGAAAATTTCAGTAATTTTTAAAAATTCATTTGGAAAAAGGTTGAAGAAAACTACATTTATTGTATCCAGAAGGTCAATTTAGCTCCCGTTACTAAGAAAGTACCAAGATACAACAACATTGTTGTAGGACAAAATTGAGAAGAGCCAAGTATTTTTGAAACACAGTAGACATTCTTGAAGGAGCTGTGAAGAGTCCGAAAATATTTTCTTGGCTTCCTGGTCATGACATTACTCCCCACTCGACCTTCCCAAGTAATACAGGTTAAGCTGACATTTCCCCTTTTTACCATAGCATGTTCATAACAAGTGACATAAAACATGGTTGCATGCTATTAAAAAAGTTACAACAGGTAACAGTATAGGACATTATGATCTGATGGAAGGTGTGTTACCGTGGTTAGACTATCCCATCCATTGTATTTGGTAAATCAGAGATAGCTGGTAAAAAGCACTGCTAGTCTACAATGCTGGATCAAAATATAACCCATTAGTTACATATCTGTCTTTCAGAGAACTATTATCCCATCTAGAAATAACTCCATAACAATTTCTGGACAAAACCTCACCTATCCTAAAAGTTCTTGATCTTGTTCAGGATTCACTCTCACGAATCTCCTTCAAGTCAAGCTCAGCAGTTGGTCACTTCACAGTTACATCAGTATAGTTTTCTTGGCAGCAATACCGAAGAGGTTTGTTATTATATTCTTCCAGTATGCTTGAGTTCCTAGTCTAACCTATAGACTTGCAATCTCCTGATGATTCCCATCCAAGTACAAACCAGACCTACCCCTTATTAGCTTCTGAGGGCAGACATGGTAAGCCACACACAAATGCAAAATCAGGAAAAAATTCAATAACAATCTTTTATATAAGAAAATTTAGTCACATTAAAAACCTTATGTTAAAAATACTTTGTATTTATTTCAGTAAACAGAAACTTGCAACGACCTTTCTTAAAAAAGCATTACTTTAAGTAACAAGATACAACAGTTTTGCCAGAACAAGAGTGACCTCTAATGGATGTTATTGATTCTCCAACTTACACTAACTTGAAAGAGAGCAAAACTGTTTTTTCACACAGGGAAACCTTAGGGTGGTATGCTGTGTCTTTACCATCTGCGTCGAAACTATAAATTAAACTAGAGATATGATGAAAAATTATTATTTTGAATTTATGCCTCTCATACAACTATTAAACATAAAAGACCTGCTGTGAGGGTAAAGATGGTGGACCAGAAGCAGGGAGACCAGGTTTTAGTCTACCTTCAGCCAGAGCAACTCCCTGGGTAACTTTGTTCCAGTCACTCTCTCTCAACCCAACCCACTTCACAGGGTTGTTGTGGGGGAAACATAGAAGGAGGCAGCACTATGTATGTGACCTTTAACTCTCTACAAAAGAGAAGACATAAATGCAATCAATAAACTATTTGCAAAGCAGTGCAAGAAAAGCTATTCTTCATTATCAAACCTGAAGAACGGAACTGAACTGCACCATTACGGCCTGTATCTTGGTGAATGTATTAAGACTCAGGTCATTATTTTCAGAGTATACTTTCTTTAAAAACACTTTAAAAATATTTTAATCCAGGAGAAAAGCAACCTAAGATCTATAGACACAGGTAACCCAATCTGCTCTTGACCAATGAATATCTGAAGTCTACTGATATTAATGGAGTTTGATGCATCAATCTGCATGGAATCAGGCTGCTTACAAAGGAGTTTCAAAACCACCTTATAGTTTTAAAAACTCAGTTATAAAAAAATTAGGTTTTTGCCAGGTGCTTAGTTTTTCAAAGCATATGCATTTCTCTTACTGATAGTACCTAAAAGCATGAAAACATGTTAATTCAATATAGGATCTAATCAGGACAAACTCTTAAGCTTCCTTCGATTCCTTTGCCTCTGGACACCCTATTTCTTTGTTTTCCTCAAACGACGACTCTTAGGGATGGATTGTTATTTCAAAGTCGGTGATGCCAAAAGATGCGGAGAGACAAATACGTCTTAGATTTATTTATTTATTTATTGGCCATACGAGGGGTATTTGGAGCAAGAGAAAACCGCAGATAACCGAAGCTCAGAAACGTAAAGGAGGAAGTTATCATCCAAAAAGAAACCACGTGGTCGACTCTTTCTGAAGCATCAGCTCCTCAATCCCGCAGGTGCGTCAAAAGCGCCGTTCCGACAACCCCCCGCCAAGACCACAGCCACGAACTACACATCGCTTCCGTTCGACTCCACGGCCCCGCCCCACGGCCACCGAATTCTAGGCATTGTAGTTTTCAGAAGCGGGGCAGATTTCCGCTGCATATAGGAACAACTCTCACAGAAAACTCTCATTCCCAGCGTCCCTTTCGATGAAACCGCCGCAGTTTTTTAAAAAAACCCTACACTCTCAATCCGTCGGCGGGTGCGTACAAAGCACAGCATTCTATCCGCCCCTGCCCGCAGGCTGCTGGGTCTGCTCAGTTCCTCCTCCTCCTCCTCCTCCTCCTCCTCTCACCTGGAACGCCGGGAGTTCCTCCAGCCGCGGCCACACGGATACAGGCAGAGGCTCCAGCCCGCGGCTCACGTCCATGCTCCGTCTCCAGCAGCTGCGGAAAAACAGCAGTCCGTTCAGCCTTCGTTTTGGCCCACCCTCTCTGCCGGGATTGGCTGCCCTGCGAGGTTTTGTTTACTAATAGCGAGCTTCAGCCAATGGCAAAAGGAAGAACTCTGGGAGCGTCGTTCGGTCTCTTTTGAGGACGGATTGAATTAGAGTCGTACAGAGTACGTTGCTTCTGGGTTTCGTGTGAGACTTTCCCTTTGCCTCTCTTCTCTGCGGGACGGGAGGCAGAAGGAGTAGCACAGTGTGGAAGAAGACAGGTTGTTAGCATAGCAGCAGTTTGTTTCCTTCATCCTCAATATTTGGTTGTTCTTTGAGGAGCTGTCACTCGCACCATGGGAAAAGGAGAGGAAACCCCCAAACAGACCAGTTCCACCCACAGACTGGTTGTCATTCATATCTCTATGCATTTTTCAGGTTTCGCTGCAATTGTCCATTTCAAGAATTATTTGAGTATTGATTTTAAAAAGCTTCAGGGGGAAATGCACGTTGACTAGCATTGTGATCAATCATTTTTTGAGTTAGATTTTGTCTGTATATATTTGGGATAACTGACAGTGCTTCAGGTTTTTTGCTCCCAAGCGCCAACCTGCTACATTTTAACATATACACTTGATTCACACATTGCACTAAGCCATAATTAGTTTGATGTTGGCTTAGCATAGCTATCAAAGTTTTTGTTATCTCTTTGCTGCCTTCTAGTCGTAGTCCAGATTTTTGCTAGGAGACCTAGCTTTGTGCACTGGGTGAATGGAGCCACTGTAGCTTGTAAAAAGTTTCTAAACAATGGCTTAGGGTGAAGTGTGAAGTAGCCAACGGTAAATGGGTGAAAGCATGAGGTTTGAACCCGAGACAATGTGATCACACAACATGCTATTCTGTTGCTTACTTGACCATAGTGTCATAATTGGCTGGGTTTGCAGTACTGTTAAACACTACATGAGTGGCCTTGGGTATGAGGGCCCACCGGTTCTGGGGACTTCCCATCTCTTTTTCTGGGTGGGGTTGCACTATCCAAAAAGAACCTGCGTGCACTTTGGGTTTCCTCCTGGCTCCCGTTTGAGGAACAGGTGGTAGCCGAGGTCAAGAGGGCCTTGGCACAACTTTGTGTTCTGGGCCAGTTGCGAGGCTCTGCTCATAGTCACTCATGCCTTGGTCACTCCCCAAATGGACTACGGCAATGTTCTTCACGTGGGGCTGCCCGGAAGCTACAGCTGGCACAGATTGCAGCAGCATAGGCAACAATGTGCGCTCCTTGATCAGTGGACATTACACTTCTACTCCGTGAGCTGTACTGGTTACAGTATGCTTCCGGGCTCAATTCAAGGTGCTGGTAATGACCTAGAAAGCCCTTCATGCCGTGGGACCAGGTTATTTGAGGGACCGCCTCTCCCCGATTATATCTATTTGTTCATCAGGAGAGGCACACTCTGGGTTCCGACTATTAGGGAGTGCCATCTGGTGGAGCCCAGGAAGAGACCCTTTTGCTGTTTTTGTTTGTTTGTTTTTATACAGTTTTTAATTTTTGTTAGCCACCCAAAGTCCTGAATTTGATAGGTGACCATATACATTGAATGAATTAATAAATAAATGAAGGTTCACAAAGCATATTGGCTGGTTTTCGACAACATATGAAATCAAACCATATTTTTGCTTAGCATGTTGTATGAAAAAGCTGTGTCCCCAGATATTCTGGTTTTCCAGTGCCCATCAAGCCCAGCTAAAAGATAATTAGAGCTGCTGTTCAAAAACCACCAGGCTTCACTGCCCCAGGCTTATTATAGCTCATTTGGTCTTTACAAACCTGAAAACGAAAAGTGAGATTGTCATGTATTTATTTATTACAACATTTTATATACTGCCCATTTCCAGAGGACTCAAGGTGGTTTACAAAAATAGAAAATATATACAATAACACCTGGGACATAAAACCTACAAAGTTTAATAAGCAGTCTTCATACCATAAGGCTGAATATTTGGGGAACAGCCAGGGTTTCATGAAAAGAAAAAAAAAAATCAAAAGTGGGGAAATGGGAGACAAAAGATAGAAATTATCTTTTATTAGATTTTGATGCTTCACGTCTCTATTTCAAAAGATTCCTTGTCATCCTTCTAAGACAGCTGGAAGAAAATGCTTAGTGTACTTTAAAAGATTAATTAATACTGACCATTAATTTAGTCACAAAGTGAATTCCAGCCAACTTACTAGTTTCATTACTTATTTTTCATACTTTGCCAAGTATCTGAAAATACTTATAAATGTCTAAATGACACATTTTCTGTGAAAAGAAGGGCCACTGGCTTGTCAGTGTGTACCTATTGTTATAAAGCCAAGCTCATTATCGGTGGGGTTTCCTTGATGAGCAGTCAAAGATCATTTTCAAAGCCCTGACAAACATAGAGGCAACCTACTGTTTTCTAATGAGATGGACAGCCCTAATGAAACACATCAGAGATGGAGGCACCATCGAGTTCGTGGGATGTCACAACCTCAAAAAAGTCACCACTGCTTCTCATCTATAACCAAAAACAAAGGTAGGTAGGGTGCTGACTCTTGAAATTCTAATGCCCCCCTGAATATGTTCCAGCCTCATTACATACAGGGGAAATAGTTATACCAATTAGTTAACATGAAAGATAGCCTTAATTAATATCTCAGGAAAGATAGCTATTGTCAGAATGAAACTAAACTCAATTTTAAATGAAAATTAAATCACTTTGGCTAAATAGATTTAGTTAAGCTGCCAGTGTCTTCCTTTGAAATTTTCTGTTGAAGTATTATAACTGTAATGGCAACTAAAAATAGTCTAGATACTGCAGGAACAGTAGTGTCGTGTGACAAAGGCTAACACATTTACTACCATATAAGCTTTTGTAAGATCACAGTCCCCTTCATTAGATGCAAATATACTTTGAAGTCTTATGTCAGGTATGTTTAAATCTCCCAGTTGTAGACCTGCCTATAGTTTGTGCTGGCATTAGCATATGAGGTTTATCTATATACTAGGAAAACTTCTAGATTTCTGCATCTCAAGCTATTATTCAAAGTACAAGTGCAGGTAAGACTTTTCTTCTTCTCTGATAAAGGTTACTTTTCATACATGTAAGAACTGCATCCTTCCGGGTAACAGGAGATGAATAATGGTTGAAACTGATATAGACATGAATTGATCCCAGGAGAGCTTCATGAAATATGGTATGCTGTAACACAATTTTGAAATCCACCTGTAAAAGCTTTTTCTAGTATTTTGACAGGCAAGTGTGAAATTATTAAAAATTTAGGGCAGAGATGCAAAGTTAGAAACTCTGAAGCTGAAGAGCTGTCCCTGGAGATTTCCAAGAGTTGTTTTTAAATTGTAATGTATAATGTGACAGAAGAAGAAAATGTTTACAGTTATGAGTGAAAAGTAATCACATTAACTATGCATCATTTTAATTATATTCATCTATACATTAAATCAAGTTTAGATTTTATTCTGATTCTCCCCATAAGTATGGACTTTAGTCCAGAAAAAGTCACATAGTCCTGGTTTAGGCCATGAAAGTAAACAGTACTCTTAGTTCCACATGCTTTCTGTTTTCCCTTACTACTTCACAAAACGTCTTTGAAATGAAAGGATTTGCAAAGGAAGCTTCTGATGTGACATCTTTTGGAGGCCTAAAGTTCTGCTTTTTGGAGGCAAGCCAACAATTTCAGTGGGCACAAGCAATAAAATGTGAATGCTGGTTTTAGAATTAGCTGATACATTGTTTAAGCCATTGTTTGTTTAACTGAGTGTGAATATTTCATTTAGAATGAATTCTCACATTGTGCTAAGCTATTGTTTGCTTGATCATGTTGTATCAAATAAACCACAATTGACTTGTATCCTAAGTTGGAAACCATGATTGGGGGTCATAAAACCCACTCAACCAAGACATAAGCGCAATACAGCTTAGCGTCATGCATGAATCCAACCTCTGTTATGCTCCTGACGGGGGGGAGGAGCCAATCAAACTAGGGGATCTAGTGATGGATGTGGATATGCTAAATCTAGTCTGAACCAGATAGTGAGGAGCCTCTGGATCCCAAGAAGTTCCATACAGCTGACCCCTAACACCAGGCATTGCAAACCCTCAAGAAATGTGCTACATCTGAACTGAGAAATGATAGCAAAGTGCTCAGCTCCTGCCCCAAGGACTCCTGGGAAGGAATAAAAGATCAGGAGTCTGCTAGCACCTTTCCGACTGACATATTTTATTAAAAGGCATACGTTTTGTGAGCTCCTTCAGATGAAGTGAGCTGCTACTCATGAATGCTTTTGCCTTTTAATAAAAGATATTAGTTGAAAAAGTTGCTAGCAGACTCCTGATTTTTTTGCCACCGTTGACTAACACGACTCTCCAGTTCCATGACTTTCATGGAAAGTCAGCCACAGGAATGATTGTTTGCATTGTAGCTCCTCCCAGGAATGCTCCACTGAAGAACAGGATCTTAGATACATTTTCTGAAATATGGCTCAAGAATAAAGAACAGCTGCATTTCCTTTGCAAGCCATTTTTCATCGAACTGGAGATGTTGCACTGTCATCATCTCTGTAGACTCAAATAAATACCCAGTGCTACAACAGTGCAGGGGTGCTGCTGCTGCTGGAGACTAAAAATGGGCTTTTTGACTTTGGCCTGTGCTGAACCACAGCACTGATCAGAAACAATTCACTGCTGTCCCTTACTTTTCTAGTAAGGTGAGCAATGGTAGCTCAAAGTATGCGGTAACCCCTCCACTACCTTATTGTAAGAATGATTGGGAGTTGCTACCTGAACCATCCTGTGTAAAAATGATTCCGTCCCACACAATGCATCTCTCACTTTCCTTTATTATTTTCGCACGACACAACATCCAGGATAATACCAATACATTTAATTCTATATATTTTAAAAAATCCCTGAGCCTTGCCATAACTAGCTCTAACATCAGAAAATTAGCAGTTGGGATACACAAAATGTCTTCATAGATATTCACAG